GCTATAAATGTTCAAATGTTAACACACGACGCACGCCGACGGACGAGAACGGATAGTTATAGGTCACCTGAGTGACTCAGGTGACCTAAAAATAGAAGTCAATGATATGAAGACACGCAACGAAAAGGTAAACATGTACAGAAAAGCGAAAATACACATGTATTGTTAAATGTTACCCACTTCACTGCAAATACATGTACGAGGAGTGCGGTTTCATTACACCGATTAAAATCTTTCTACCTGACATTTTAAGTTAGTGTTCCACATTTGAGGCAGTGTATTTTATGAATTGAAAAAAGGGTCAGGCAGTTTTGTTTTATACTTCTAATGCAGTTTTGTTTTATACTTCTAATGCAAGGTTTGTTCACAAGTTTCAGTCCTCCGCTGGCCATTAACAGTGACCTAATGAGTTAAAAAAAATGAAATATAGGGCAAGAAAACGACACTGTATAGATATCTGATTAATTTTCACTAAAATTTCCATCATAATCAAATTATTATCAATGTCAAACCAAACCATAATATTGTTAATTCAAACGTAGTTAAATTTAATACTGTCCGTTGAAAATCTTCATTGGTCCTTCAAGTTTAGATTTCAGATTCGGGACTCTTTTCAGTCATTTAGCCCTTTTTTTCATATTAACCCTGTCGCCCGCGTGGCTCTGTGGTTAGAGCGTCTGCCCTAGAGTCGCGAAGTAAGGAGTTGACCCTTACATCGCGGGTTCGAATCCCACTGTGGGACGTAGACCGGTCCTTCGGATGAGACCGTATAAATCGAGGTCCCGTGTCGCAGTAGGTGCTGGCACGAAAAAGATCCCTCACTGCTCAAAGGCCGTAAGTGCCGAGTATAGGAAAAAATTTGCAGCTCTCCACCGGCAAGTGGTGGCGTCTCCATATGAGTGAAAAATTCTCGACAGGGACGTTAAACAACATACAAACAAACATATAAACTTTATCTTTCTGTAATGCCGTCTTTTAAAATATATTTTTTATTTTGAATTAAGGAATAGGGATTCCGCTGGATTCACCTTGCTGTCGTCAACAAGTCGTCAGAAGAAAAAGAAACAAATCTACGCCGTACGTACTCTGATGACAGAGTTAAGCTGGCGATGCATGCCATTCTTTTATTACGTACATTTCAATTCATGTACGCGACACCAGTGTAGGGATTTTTAATGAAGGTATTATGTTGCTAGTAATTGAGATGTGATTTAATATTGACCGATACATGTAAGTATCATATACGACAACGGTATCCTCACATCATCATGAGTTCAGCTTTTAATATGACAATAAAGCACTGCATACATGCAGTGTGACTTTTTGGACAAAGTTGAATTGATATGGTCTCTTGGTATTCTCTCCATTTTTGTTTACAAAATGTCTGTTCGTTTCTTTCAGTTAAAATGCTAAGTGTTAAACTGAACGAAATTTTTTTTTTCTAAAATGTAACATTTTGTTCCTCCTCCGAATGACCAATCTTTTATTACAATGTAAAAAAAAAAATGTAATCAATAGAACGAAAAATGTGGTCAATCAAATTAAATGTTCAGTTCTCCAACCTGCCGAAACCGAATAAAGTACACTATCATTCATACTCAAAAGCTTTTATTTATCTAAGTTTAATATTTGAACTCTTTATCAAAAACATTCAAGTATCAAATCCCTTAATTTTACACAATAAAAAGTCAACATCGGAGGCAAATAACCCATTTAACGAAGAGAAATACTTAAAAGAAGTTACGTTTTGTGGTCTAGTTAATTTATTTCATTTCAGATTTTTTTTAATGCGGTGTTCTCTTGCCAATGAAGATATAAGTCCAAATCTAAAGAGATTTAACAAGTGCAACTTCCATGTCTTGTATTTATGTGAGGCACTTTAATAAAATATTTATCTAATTATTGATTACGTGTTTAATTTCATTAGTATGTGATATGAGCTTCCAAAATAAGACCAGAGTGTACGAAGTTTGGGACAGTAGTAATATTACTTTAGTAGTCATAAATACACATTTACGATTTTATATATCCAAATGAATGTTTCTCAAAATTCAGCTGACTTTATTGTGACCCAGCAATCATGGAGTGAGACGAGTGATCTTTGTGAGATTTAATCAACCAGGAAGTAAAGTATTTAAACGCATAGACGACGTCAACATTTCATTGATAACAGAAGGTGTAGGCGTGTCAATATCTTAGAGGACGGCTTCAGGTAAGGGCTAATTAATTATACTTACCTCATGATAGAACTCCCTTTCTATTTTATAATAAGTCAAATGTATGACGATTAAATATTTGTTGACTGCTCGGAAATGTAGTTGAAATCTATGTTTACAGGTCTAAATTTTCTTAATCTGACATGGATATAAAATCGGTGTGCGTTTCAGTTGTCTGCGTTTAATTACACACAAGAATATAAAAAAAAATTCCAGAGAGTCTGTTATGCATTTGTCGGGATTTGTTAATGTTTAAAAATATTTTGAATAATGATGAAAATTTCAACACAATCCTACATATTATAAATGATGCAGTCGTAACCATCAAAAACATTGGCAGTAGACGTAAAAATTGTGCACAGCCAATATAACAAGAACTGATGTAGCATGACTTGGATACTTTTTCATAACAACACTTGTTTTATTTAATATATATAACTAATGTATTTTTAACCAAACTAATCCATCCCGATGCTTGCTATTCATAGACCTAGGAAATTCCTGAACTTTTCTAATTCATGCTAAATGAATTTTACATGATTTAGCATGTATTTAATGTATAAGAATAAATCTATGTGATAAACAATTTTTATCCGAAAACAATAAAAAAATCAGTTATAAACAGCATTCCAACTATCATTGTAATAAACTCTTTTTTGATTTAGAAGTATTTTGCACAACGCCTATATTTTTTTTTAAATCGATACCAAATGAACAAAGATATTCATGAACATAACTTGAATAAAGGTAGAAGTTTTACTTTGTGCATAGTGAAAGCCCCTCTTCTTTTACCTTTTCCTCCTCATGAAATTGTAAATACATGTAATACTATTTTACAACAAAAAATGGATGCTGTATCTTTAAAACTGATGGTTTCTAATAATAGAGATACTTTTTTAGTTACAAATATTATCTTTGATAATCAGTACTTAATCAGGCGTGTATCTCATTAATTTCCTTACATACAAAAACATTTTATTCACACCTTTTAACTTAGGGAATCGGATATTCAGAATAACACAATTAAATAACATTTCCTTTAATTACGCTAATAGTCATAAAAACAAAACAGAACAAAATTTAGTCATTAAACCATACTATCTTTTTGCCTAAGTTAAGAGAAAATTCATTGGAATGCAGTTGGATTAAAATCAATATGTGACAGCTTTAAAACATACAGTATAGATGATTACTACCGATAAGAAAGGAATGCGAAAACAAACTCAATGAATATTTAAATACGTCACCGGGTATATTTATACACAAAAGACTGCATGGTATAAAAATAACTTTCTCTTAAACATTTACAGTAAAGTCCGGATTTTGTCCTAAACAAAGACATGGTGCCCATAGGAGTGATTGCAGGTTTAATTTTTGGAGGAGCCTTTTTACTTCAAAATGGTAAGTTAAAACCAGGAAATTGAGTAGGAAATGTCTATACAAGAACGATTTCGTAAAGTTATAATAATATACTTTCTATATAATTTCATTCAATATATATAATAATTGAAACTTGTAATAAATTTGAATTTAAACTATAATTCTTTGATCGATAGATTCATTAAAACAAAAAATAAATAAAATAAAGGTTCATTTTGTAAACCTTGGTTGTGTATATAAAAAATAGAACAACACAGGTTGTAGGTCTCAGCGCAGATTGTATTATATATGAAATATATGGAGATTCCGAACAGTATTCAAGCTCAAAAGTCCATTCAAACAATACAAATCAGGAGCAGAGCAAACACGGACCTCTAAAATATCAGAGGTGGGATCAGGTGCCATGGTGGAGTGAGCATTCACTGCCGACAGGTCACACCCGCCATGTGCTCCTTGTTATGACCGGGAAATAACGGAAAAATCCGTCGAGTAAAAATGGTATAAATAAGTAAATATCTCGGTCTATCTGGCCCTGCAAAATCAATGTACAAAACCTTAGCGATGTATACATTACTCAAGTGTTCATATAATAATACAAATCGCTAATCATAAGATAAGTCTGTCACTTATTAATACGTATCATAGATCAATATTTTTAACACTTATAAATTTAATTTATAAAGTGATCTCCACTGAACCTAATACATTATTTAAGATTAGCTATAAAGTTATTTACACTTATATTTACAAATTAATGAATGACTTACCAAAATTATGGAATGAGGATATTCCGTAATCTTATATGGAACTTTTTACCAAGTGCTATGCTGTTTTAAAAAAGTTAAACATACAAGTTTTTAACTACTGAAAATATAGAAATGGAGAAATCTCAACCAGAAACAATACTTAAACTTCAAACATACCATGACTGAAAAGTCCAAAAAGTCACAAATCTATAAATTGTTAACACACAACCTGCTGGTATATGTACAACGGCACGGGAAAAGAATGACCAACATCCCATAAAAAAATAAAAGCTTGTCGATGGTCACAAGTCATGCGATAGGTCTGCTCCAATTGCTCAATGGAGTTTTGGCGGGAAAGTAATTAATTCAACAAAATTGTAAAGTAAATAAACACAGACACTTATTTTGTAATTTGTTTGTAAAACTTTTAATCTATACCTATGTATATTTCATAGTTATAAATGCATTAATAGTTCTAATATGCTACAATTTGGAATAATGCTATTAGGAAACAGGATTAAAATTTTCCTATTAGTGTGTATTTTTATAAGAAATGTTCTTTTCATTGCTTTTTAAACTTATTTCTCATTAAGGAATTTTTGGAACAATCATCAATTCCGATGCACTATCAGACGGGATGTGTCACTCGGAGGAATTGGGAATTGAGATTTCGATGGAGTGTGACATTACGAACATAAAAATCAACATAGTTTCAGGTCTTTTAGCTGAATGCATGTATATCAATAATGACACGTTATTTTGCCAAACTGCGGAATCGGTGCAATATCACCACAATAGCAGTGGAGTTTTGACAATTACTACTCCATTTAACCACACGATCTATGCTGGTAACACACTGTGGGTGAACTCTACCTGTTTTAACAGCAGCAGCGTCCATGAAAATATTCTTCTCAAGCCTTGTCGTAAGTCTACTAACTTCTGTCTATATGTTATGATTTGAAATGATTTTGTTACAATTAAGGTTATTTTTAAATGGTACACAATAATGTTAAACAAGAGAAAAATAAAAGCCCTATTTAAAGGACACCAAGTATTATAACTGACAGAATTTCCAGTTTGCGGTTAAGCAGTGGAAGGGACTTTAATGATAGCATATGTAAGCAGAAGTCACCGGCTAGACTTTAGTTCTTCCAATGTTAACTTTTCACAAAATATGTCTACTTACTAATATGGGACAAAAACTGTTGGAGAAGTTAAAAATTTTCACAACTTAAATACTGTCTTACGTCTTATTGAAATCGGACCAGGACTATGGAGAGACAGAAAAACCGACAGATGGACGGACAATTCTTTTAGGCCCTGGATTGTATTTGAGCGAAAATAGACTTGTTAGCTTATTATATTACCTTAACTTCATATAAATATCACGTCTATAATCCCACTAACTAGAATTATAGGGAAGACAAAAAGTAAGATTTGTGAAAACACATCTGTATAAGAATGCAAGAAATATCTGCTAGTGTCGCTACATTATATTTCTGGGGACTTAATTCGCTACCAAACAATTTTTTTGTACTAAGAAGGTTTCCTTATTTGCGAAATATTCTTATTATTTGTCCAAAATGATTTTACAGACAGCTCGGTAAAATAGGCGAAATCTAGTTGATTTGTAGCATGGAGTAACTGTTTGTTTGAACATTGGTTCTGATCTACTTGCAAATCTCAGTGATAAACTGAGGCTAACATGTGACTTTCATCATTTTACTATTTAAACATTAGTTATATTTGCTTCGAATTTTAATGTTAGAAATATATTCCTTTCTCAGTTTCTGGGTTTCATACAATGGCATACCATAACAACACGCATGTTACAATTTCCTGTGAGCATACGTCATTCAGGTTTTCCAACCATGGTATACGCATTGTTGGCGAAAACGATTTGGCACACTGCAGCTGGAATAAAGGAAATCAAACGAACAATTGTCACGGAGATGCTGAAGGTATATATTTTAATCTGTATTTAGACGACTCCTAAGTTCTTGAACGGGTCCTGTGCTCTTAAAGAATGACGGAGTAAGGAAATAATCTTTGTATTGCTAAATCGGATCCAAATGCGATATGTGAAGACGATGGGCTAAGACAATATAATACAGATTAGCAGTTTAAGTTTTCAGGAGGAAAAATCCTCACTGATTGTTGTCGAGTACAGCAGAGTCGCAATCTAGAACTTAACGTATCTGCAGTTTTCTAATAATTTGTCCGTAGGATGTGACAGGAATTGCATCTTCGCTAGCCAAGAGTTTCTGATCCGCTACTCTACTCTGTTCACAAACCTTTGGCCTACGGTGCTGTCAAAAGTCGAGATTTTTTTTCTCGAGTTACGATTGGAGTTGATTGATTTAGTTCGACCAATCAGCAATTGTTTTTGTAAATGACGGTATCTGCGTTCGTGGTATATCTTGACTCAATTGTCTTGGGATTAAAAGAACAATTAAACAACGATGAGTAAGATAACATGCAATTCTACAAATAGCTATGGTGTCATCCCATCTTAAGTTGATATGCAAATAATGTGAACAGGAATCTTTATTACAACAGATTTGCACCCTAATAACAAATAAACATCGTTCGATACGTTCTTATTAATAATTCTTTCAAAACTTTATTTTTTAAGATCTCTTTATTTCTGTCGATGACTCAATCTATGCGTATACCTACTGTAACACTACACCCAAGTTTTTTAGGTCTTTGCAAAAAGACTAGTACCTTTAAATGATATTGCCAGGCGCTTGACGAAAAGACTACTAAGACTTTAGGTCTTGGGTTTGTCGCAGTGCGGTGAAGGACAATCAAATCAAACTCCCGGTTAAGAAACGAATACAGTTAAGTACCGGTAAGGAGAGTAGGCAAGACTTGTGCAGCAACTGACGGCAACACAAAGCGAGCAAAAAAAAAAAATAATATCCATTAAGGCCATATTTAAATAAATTGGTTGCCCTCTCCCGACTGACTGGCTAAAAATGGCCCGACTCAAAACTCTCCCTCCGGAAAAAATACTTCGAAAATTCAGCACTGATGTTGAAATTTTCTAGGAAAAAAAAATCATCCTACCTACCGACCCATTTTATTCATCCTGGGTCGGGAGAGGGCAAGCAAACATTATTTTAAAGTTGGCCTAATAGAAATCATATTGGAGAGAGGTATCGTTTCTTCAGTTTTCAAGGCAACTTGATTTTTGTAAACAAAAAAAGATAATCTAAAGTTACTGAATAATAAAGAGAAATCACGATTGTATTTAGTGTAGAAACGTTCATAATCGGTTTTTTGTATAATAGAATAAGGTTGGCTCTTTCAAGAGGCTTGGAGATAGTTGTGTCGTTAGCAATTTAAATTTATATTTTTATTCAAAAATAAAGTATAATGATCTTAAATTACAAAAATATTCTGAGAATTAAATGACAACTGCATTCTTCATGATATCGAATACATATACCATACGTTCGAGTGTAACATAGCAGAATGTTTGCCCCAAGGTGACAGGAAAGCCTTGCAGTGATATGTCAGCCAATGTCGAAGATTATGGTAGCGGTTGAATGACATTTTCCAAAGTAGATAAAGCAATCCAGAAGGCGCAAGTGAAATAAAATTAAGGAACTGTGCATCTTCTTTTATGACGACATGTAAATATTTACTTTTTTAGCTCTTGCCAATGGCGTAAAGTACACTTCACTATATACCCGAGGAATGAACATAACATGTAAATTCGACGGACAGTCAGTAGATATTGCTCCTCAACAACAAACAACAATGCAAACAACGAATATGACACCCAGCACCACCAAAACACCACGTACGACATGATGTACATTAACAATCTGAATAAATGATTCTTTTTTTTTAGATTTTCAAAATTATATTTTTTTTACTAATCGGTATAATTGTGTACGGGAAATAGCTGAAATGTAATAATAAAACTTACCAATTGTTTTGTATTACGTGAAACCAAAAAAAATAATTTTCCTCTTATGCAAAAAGTATTCAATTATTAGATTAATTTTTGTTGTCTTTTTCAGTGAGTTCAACTTCATCGCAGAGTCATGAGAACGGATCCCGGAGTCCAGATAACGGACAAACAAAAGTGATCTGCCCCGTTTCGATTATCTCTATTTTGTGTATCTTGTATTTCATTCACAGAGATATATTTATCTGAGAACAGCCGAATCAAAAGGAAGGAGGTTCATATATCCCTTGTGATATATATGTCTACTGAACCCTCCGTCTGTCAATCACAGTTTCCATCGTGTACAAGAAATTCGAAAAAAAAAATCGAAAATGATTTCATATCATAATATTCATCGTGGAACCACTGTGCTGTCGAACCTTTTTTAGTTTAATCAAGATTATGTTGGCTATTTAGCTGAATAACAAGAGGAGCGATCTGAATGTGAATTGTTTCTCTTAGAGACAACGATGAGACACAGGTTTACTCTGCTGGAGAGAAGACACAATTTATCAGCCAATTAAGGAGTATCGGTATTTCCCATTACTGATAATGCCGAGCAAGATTGACACCAATTTTGATTATACACTTGGTTTAAGTAAAGATAAATTTCTTTTTTTCTGGATTAGTATTTATTTAATCTGAGGTAATCATTCGCGTGATTTACATTCATTCTAACTTAATTTGTTTTACGTAATACAAAGAGTTTAACAGTAATTAAAAGACAATTCAGTGAGAAAAAAAACATCATCATAGAATAGCCAACATTTGATTGATTATTGTTGTTGCCGAGTCGGCAATATTTCAGCCATATTTCGGCGGTATGAATTTAAATACTGTATGAACGGTTTTGAAACTTCTTGGGTTTCTCTGGCGGCCCCCAATAAGCCTACCCTTTTTCGAAAACCAGAGAAACGATCTTTAGCGTACCAAGGGGGTTGTAATCCTTGACACTGGGCACCCTTTTCCGTCCCATCCGACGGACTTGACCAACATTTGATACACTCATAGTTTGCTATTAGTAAGTTCTAGTAAAATGAGGAAAAAATAACATATAAGGACTTGAGTTAGAATTATAAACAGTATCAGCTTCTTGATATTCTTAGCATGAACCAACGTAATATTGAGACTAAGATAAGGAAAAGTGATCAATCTCATAACAGATGACGAAATCGTGAACAGGTCGACAACACGCACTTCTGGAATCACAAGGGGTTTGACCAGTTGACCTTTTCACAAAAAATCTTACGACAATTTTTTATCTTAAGTGAAAACTTACGATAAAAATCGTTTTCACAAAAAATCTTAAGAAAGTCGTAAGTGCAAAATCTGTCGTAAGTCTACGACAACTGCAACCCACTCTTAAGTATAAAATATTGTACTTAAGTGCAAAAAATAGCGTAAATATTAATCTTAAGACAGAAATAAATGTAAACAAAAATGGCTGCTGCGTTTGTTGTTTTATTCGATTCGGAGAGAGCAAAGCGTCGGGAAAGGGTATTTCGAGATCGGTGTAACTCTCTAGACACATTTAATGACACTGAAGTTGTAGCGCGGTATCGCTTTCCAAGGCGATACATTTTCGAGCTGGTTGACCTAGTGCAAGACAAAATCCAACATCCAACCACAAGATCATATGCCATTCCTTCACATATCCAAGTAAGTTTTAACTTGTAGCTGTTCTTTTCCAACTCGAAACATAAAAGAGCTAACGGTTGTCGGTGGGTTTCGTCCCCTTGAAACTTCGGTGTATCGAAATTTCGTCTCCAAGCAAATTGGCTCCTACAAATTCAAGTGAATAGTTAGTATATATGAAAAAAAATACAAAAATTGGTTAAATGCTTTTTATAGAGAAATTTACTTTGAACTGAAGGAATAACACATTAATTCCATTTATTGGTCTTATTTTAAACCTTATAATTTGCTACATTACTTATAAATTATTTGTACGGACAATTGACTGGAATTTTTTAGATGTGATTTGTTCCATCCATTTTACTGTAACAGTCTCATTCAATAGCACAAGAGGTCCATAAGTCACAATGATCACCCGGGTAACCAATTGACTTCCAGTTTTAATTTTTCATCGCAAAATTAAAAAAAATCAACTTTATATTCACATGATATATTCTAATCTATTGCCCACCATAGCCCAACAGGGTCAAGTCATAGTAATCTAACTTGAAACAATCCTAAGGACACTTTAATATTATTATGATTAACGAGTACAGTGTATTAGATAAAATGTTTTAATTGCCCTAATCTCACACCAGGAGCCATTAATTGTAATTACATTTTTCAAAAATTAAATTAACTCTCACAACTTTGGATTGTTTGCATATGAATGATGTGTCCCTCCTATTTCAAGAATATTTTCAAATAAATATCTTATAGCTTAATCTGTACTTGTTGAATTCCTTTCACCCAAGGATGCTTTTCATAAGCTTAATTTGTGGAAATTAAGTTTGTTGGAAACTACCCCAGAGGTTCTGGAGCAGAGGTTAAAAATATAAAAATTTTACAGCAGGATGGGTGGACACTGGAAAAATGTAGTCCGAAAAGCTCATCTGAGTTATAATTTCAGTCATGGTGAGTGAAAAAAGTAGAGATAGAAAGAATTGGAGAGGAAAGGAAAATAGGTGGGGGACATAGGTAGACATAGGTAGGCCCCTGCCAGTACAAATCCAATGTAATTGCAAACCCCAAATTGTTCAAACCTGGAATGTTATATTTACTTTCCTAACTAAATTTAAAATTAAACAATGCTTCATATTTCAGGTGTTAACAACCCTACGCTTTTTAGCCAAAGGAGAATACTTGTCTGAGGTTGGGGATCTTCATGGAATTTCAATATCATCTGCTTCCAGGATTGTCACCTCTGTTTGCTCTGCTTTGTGCGAGTCCCTAGACAATGTAAAGTTTTCTGAGACAAATGAAGACCTTGCAAAGGTGAAAGAGGATTTCTATCAATTGGCAAGTTTTCCAAATGTTGTTGGGGCAATTGATGGAACACTGATACCCATCCAAGGGATGACAGGAGATGAGGAGCCAAACTTTATCTGTAGGAAAGGGTTTCCAGCCATTAATGTCCAGGGTGTTGTAGATACCAACCTTCGGTAAATATTCTTAAAAATAACAAGTAACCATACTGCAAGTATATATTTACTGCATCATTTTTGCAAACTTGAATTAGAATCAAAACAATGCACAAAGTTTTATAGCAAATTATATATCTTTCACAGCTTTTCAAACATAGTGGTGAGGTGGCCAGGAGCAACACACGACTCCTTTATTCTACAGAATTCCTCGCTACCAAACATAATGAGAAGAGTTAATGGTTGGCTCTTGGGGGATTCAGGCTATCCACTCAGGAAATGGCTCTTGACCCCATTTGTAAACCCAAGGAGTCCTCAGGAGCAGAGGTACAACAATGACCATTGTACTACAAGAAACACAGTAGAAAGGGCATTTGGAGTTCTCAAGAGTAGATTCAGGTATAAATAAAATACTCATATAAATACCAATTTTAGTAAATTCATCTGCACTATTGAAAAGGATTGAAAGGAAACTATTTAGTAGTACACATATATTCATTGCAACATTTAAAATATAATCCGAAAAGAGTTCCTTATATATCATATTGTGCAAACAATACAGAGAGAGGTCTTTTTTTCAAACTTTATATAACGAATGAATTTAATAGCTACCCAAGTTATACTGTGTTACCTGGGTTGGGGCAGTTTACGCTTTATAAAAAACATAAACTGCGCCAACCCAGGTTATACTAGTATAACTTGGGTAGCTATTAAATTCATTCCTTATAATTTATTTTCCATTATGAAGTATTGAAATTAATTCAAATTATCTTTCAAAAATGCCTTCAAATTGAGCAAATTTTAAATGTAACGTGAAGCGGATTGATACGTTTTTGACGAAAGTCATTGTGATGTAGGCAACACAGGTTATTACACAGTTAAAGAATATCGTTAGCAAGATTCCTGTTCCCCAAGGCCAGGACTATTTCCCGAGGCAAAGCCGAGGGAAATAGTCCTGGTCGAGGGGAACTGGAATCTTGCTAACTCCCGCAATGATATACTTTAACTGTTTTAGTAAACCGATACAAATGTAAAATTTAGAGGATTCAGATAGCGTGATTTCAAAGCAGGGATTAGCTCACTGAACTAACACACAGGAATGAATCCATTCACATATCATTCCAAAGTAAAATCTAGAGGATTACGGATAACCGGAAATTAGCTTTCGAGGCACTTGGGTTAGCTCACATGACTAACGCATGGGGATTAATCCATTCAAAACGATTTCTAGGGAATAAGTCACATCTAACGATCTAATGTTATATAGGGAAAAAATTGGTAGAGGTATAAGAAATGATATAGACTAATTTTTTATCCAATAAAATTACGTGATACAACCAAAAATTAAATCATTAAAATATGATGTAATCTAAATATTTGATTTACAGATGCATTCACAAAACAGGAGGCAGTTTGCAGTTTGCACCTGAAAAATGTATAAAGATTATCGAGTGCTGTTTTAGGCTACACAACAAAGCCATAGATGCCAGAATTCCACTAATTGCTGGAAATGAACCCGTCCAGCTTTATCAAAACAATGTTGCGTATCAAGGCTTGGATAATGATGGAATTGCTGTGCGGCAAAGACTTGTTCAGAGGTTTTGAAAACCTTTGCTATGTTTTAGGATAATAATATATTCTTGTTTGTTGTATAAATGTTTGCTTTACATCCCTTCGAGATTTTTTTCATTAGTTAGCAACATCCAGTAGTGTTGTAGCTCAGATAAATTATGCAAGGATGGAACAAACATGTACAATATACTGAAATAGACTGCTGGTTATTTTTCATATAAATGGAATTTGTGTTCTTAATCTATTCCATAAGTATAAATGTCTATAAATGTAATCTATGTAATACATAATGTGAAGTTGTCTTTTGATAAAAAAAGGTTATTCCCCTTTAATGCAATTCCATTCATTTTAAATAAATGTATCCTTTTCACAGACATGTATTTTCTGTTTATAAAGCCTTTTAAAAAGATTAGAAACAGGCAGTATACATACTTTAACAAAAGTGGGAGGTACCTAGTTAGAGCGATTTATAAGAAATATGTTATTGAATTTTTCTCCATGAAATATTCTGGTTGGTACAATCATGATTTCAGTTGGGTAATAGTACCAAGTAATGACAGATTCACTCCAGACAATGAATACATGCATTGTATGTACATGTATAAATAAATGAAGAAAAATGATTTATATCAGAAAAAAAAACCCAGGAAAGTTGTCATGTCACAAATTCTAATCTAGGTTACAAGAATAAACATTATGAATCATCCAATTCTTGACATTTATTGATTTACATGTACTATTATTGTTTATGGAAACAAATTCTCTCTTTCTATCAAGAAAATATCATGCAAGTAACTATCCCTACATGTACTTGAAAGAGACCATGAAA